GGAAAAGTGGATGCGAAAATGGATTTTAGCAGGCTTGATATTTTAATCAGATATATGTTTAGACAGTGAAACAGTTACATTTGTCTTGGAGGACTGTGGGCTATGAAGACACGCGTTTGCTGAAAACGCTGTCGTTAGCCGAGGGACTCCGGATGGGGAGCGCGGAGGCAGCCGAGTCTTATAACTCACCAAAGATTATTCTGACAGGCACTCTAATTATCTTTATGTATTTCATTTTATCTTGGATGGAGTAACTCATGCAAGACCATAATTAAGGTCTCATTGTTTTGAAATATAGCACACAAGGGATGATTAAGACTTGGATTTTCCAATGAAGGATTCATTTGCGTTTTGGTATTGACTGTACGTTATCCTAAGGTCCCTTGCCTTTGGTCAGAAGTGGCTCTCAGCAGATTTACCTTTGGGTGCCTTGGTGGCTGAGCGGGCTGTGACCGGCCCACGGCCGGTGCTGGTGGCCGAGTGCGGTGGTGGCCCCGGGGGGGTCCCGCATGGGGCAGGAGGTGGCGGGAGACAGGCAGGGAGAGGTGGCCTGAGCAGAAATCACTGTCAGAGCTGGGGCGGGACGGGTTGCTTTCTCTGTTGCTGTGGCACTTTTGCTGATAGCATGGTTTGATTTTACGAAGATGCTCAGAGCAGGGTGACAAGCAGAAGGCGCGTTTCTAAGGGACCTTTCACTTTAGTGGTGTCCGTGGTCGCTGCGTCCATAGCACCCATGGTGCGACAGGGGAGTGGTGCTGGGGGGTCCCTGAGGACGCAGGGCTGTCCCAGTGCGTGGTGGCCTCCGGGGACGGTGGCTTTGGTCGCACTCAGCTCAGGCAGCACGGGGGCCTCTGTGGCTCTGTCTGACCGACGCCGCGGTGACGGAGCCATGGCCAGACCCTTCTCCTTTCCCAGGAGCCAGCTCGGCAGGCGCTGCCCAGCCCCGGTGGGCTGGCTGCTACAAACAGGCAGGGCTGGGGCTCTCAAAAGATGCGCCCTGTGTTTTGTAGACCCAAGAGGAGGAGTTGTTTGGCAATAACGAAGAGAGCGTTGCTTTCAAGAACTTCTTAAGTTTTCTGGGAGACACCATAACACTCCAGGACTTCAAAGGGTAAGCTAAATAAAAGGAATGATTTTACAAACACATTTAACGAGAGACCATGTCATATGTAAAAATATCTACTCTGCGTGAACAGAAGTCATCTCACTCATGAGCGGGATGTACAGAGCAGAAGCAAATATAGCTTTGGCTTGTTTTTCAAAGCTGGGGGAGTTTTCAAAAAAAATTGGAGCTGCCAAGAGAGAAAAACTTCCTTTTCTGCAGTTTTGAGGTTGTGAGAAAATCTGGCTATAGATGAAAGGAACTTCATGTGGAAATGTGCCCCGTCCGGTGGTGCGGGCGCAGCTACGGTGCGGGCACAGACCCCCCGCTGCCGGCGAAGGCCGGCGCCCATGGCTGCGGTCAGCTCTGGCCCACCGGCACGGCTCTGCCGCACACCCTGAATTTCAGACCGGTGACAGCGATGCTTAGTTACAATACATGACGCGTGGTTTGTTCTTTCCCATTTGCTCGCTACTAGATAAAGATAAATGAGCTGGTTTGTTCTATCACCCTGTCCCCTGACAGCCGCCGGCGGTCTCTGCTAAGCTTTCAATTAATATTTCTTCATTTCTCCCCGACTTTCCCTTCGTCTCCAGTTTTCGAGGAGGTCTGGATGTCAGCCACGGGCAGACGGGAGCAGAGTCCGTGTACACGGTGTTCAGGGACAGGGAGATAATGTTTCACGTGTCTACAAAGCTGCCTTTTACCGAAGGAGATACACAACAAGTAAGAGAGATGAGCTTCCTCGCGCAGAAGCATCTGAGCCGGGACGCACTGGCGCTGCCCTGCCCAGTGCCGCCAGGGCTCCCCGGCGTGCGGCAGCTGCTGCGCCCGGAGCTGATGTTTGCTCCGGAGGGAGCAGAGCCGCCTGGCTTTACTGACCAAATATTTTCCCTTTCTGCTTAGCTCCAGAGGAAGAGGCACATTGGCAATGACATTGTGGCAATTATCTTCCAAGAAGAGAACACGCCGTTTGTCCCAGACATGATCGCCTCCAACTTCTTGCACGCCTACATCGTTGTGCAGGTGGAAAACCCCGAGGCAGATAACACGACGTACAAGGTGAGGGGAATCTCAGCTTGCACGTGCTGATTTTTGCTTCGGCATCTCAGGCTGAGGTCTGGAGGCAGCTGCCCAGCGGCTGCCCTGCCCCTGTGCTCGGTGATACAACCAGTATTATACCTAACTGGAATAGGGGTGTGTATATTAAACATGCATATGTATACACACACAAATATTTATCTATGCACTATTACATAGTGCGTGTATACATACATATGTGTATAAAATATACACATGTATAATAGCATGCTCATTTCCTAAAGACTTTTGATTCTACTCAGTATTTGAATAAGCCTCAGAACAGCTCATACCCATCTAACACATCACTCAAGTGCAGATAGCATAAAACCCTGTTATCTCCCTGTTTTCTATGAAGAGATCCAGCAAGACATAATTTTTCAAACTGAAAGCCCGTTGCTTAGAGCCACAAATGAAGAGAATTCGTAGGAAGTAAATGTAAAAAGCTGTGCATGGTTAACCCTCTCACGAAAGCAGGAGCGATGACTGATGAGAGCTGGGGAGCAGCGGTCTCTCCGGCAGGGCGAGGGCTCTGGGATGCTCCTTGGCTCTCAGGCGCTGGGGCACCTTGGCTGGGCTGGACTGGGCTGAGCTGGGGAGAGCATCACCCACCCCACGCCTGCTGACCTCCAGGAGAGAAATGTCTGTGCTGGGGGCTGCCCTGCTGCGCCCGCGGGAATAAAGTTTCTCTTGGCTCCGCAGGTGTCCGTCACGGCCCGGGAAGACGTGCCCTCCTTCGGCCCGCCCCTGCCGAGCCCGCCAGTATTTCAGAAAGTAAGAGATGAGATGGGAAGCATGTTCCAAGCCATAAAAAAAAATCTATGTGTATGTCTGAGATGTCTGAGCATGCCTGCTTAGGGAAAACATGACTTCTGGAATTTATATTCATTTATTTTGATTCCTAGTGAGGCCCATGGGGTTTATGGTAGGGCGGGAGGCTGTGCACCATCACGCAGCGTAACCTGTACAAGGTGGCAGCTGCGTCTCTGCTGCCGGGGCACCCGTGTCGGTGCGAGGGTGATGGCCAGTGCAGGAGGGCACCCTGAGCCCATATGGGGTTTTCCGCCAATGCCCCCACATCTGGAGGGGGCTGGAGGATGCTGTGAGCTTGGGTTTTGGGTTGGTACAGCTCCGGTACCAGAGATAGGCAGAGTCTTTGGCTGGTGTTTTCCACCTTGCCTCTCTCCCCCCAGAGCCCCGAGTTCCGGGAGTTCCTGC